AAAAATAAATCTGTATTTCTCTATTGAATTTCCATAAGTTCTATCACGCTCCTAATAACCATATTGATTTGAAAGTTTGTAAACTTATCTATTGGACATGCCCATAGGATGGACTTCCTCAATGCACTGACACAATTCCACTCAGCCCTGTGAATATGTACTTCCTGGTGTCGGCGCTCTCACAGAGCCTGCCTTCTGAACGACAACTACTCAACGTCTGAACAGTGTAACATTATCATTGCTTGCTGGAAGCAATGCATGATGGGATATGTAGTGTTGAGAATTGGAGATTGCATCACAGGGAAAGCAGCAGGGAAAGAGACGTAAAGCACACTGGGAATCCAGGAAGTTGATGGAAGTGATGGGCAGATGGAAGGCGGCACTCACTACATAAAAGGGATTTTTTAATGTAAGCTTTGACTGTATTATCATAAACAACTCTACTATGTATTCCTATTACAGTGCTGATGTTATAACAGGAGAGGATATGCTGGGACTTTACATCTCCTTTAAATGTGTTTGTATCCATTCATCTACACATAATGAGGTGAGAATTGTGTGTATACAGAATATTAGTATCCAGGAGGTTTGTTGGAAAGCGTTCAGTCATAAAGTGCTTGTGGAACCTGAAGCAAACTCATCCACTCTCAAGTTATTACAATTGTTGCTGTTTTATTATTAGTCTGCAAGGGAGCGTTTCATTAATCTAAATGAAAGTACGGTAATAGAAATGACCGACCTAGAGACGGGTTATAACTGTTGAAAGGAAAAAAACGATGGTGCTGCCCTATAATGCCGTGCAGCGGGTGGCCCACAATTTTAAACAGGTATTGGGCAGAGTTTTTAATGAATTCTGCCAGGGATTACAGCACAGTAATGCTGCGGACCAGTTCAGGAGATTTCCATGCAGAGCGCTCTAGCAGTTTCCAGTAACCGAAAGCCGTTTCTGACAGTCTTGTGTAACGTGTAACGCCGGGTGTCACCCAGCCTCGGGACGCCCCTGGTTGGGAGGCATGCTCATGTAGTATGATAGCTCTCTTGTAAACATAAAATGAAGGACAGTTCCTCCAAATGACAGACAGATGGGAGGTGTGCTTATGTAGTATGATAGCTTTCTTGTAAACATAAAATGAAGGACAGTTCCTCCAAATAAAGGACAGTTGGGAGGTGTGCTCATGTAGTATGATAGCTCTCTTGTAAACATAAATGAAAAACAGTTTTCTCCAAATGAAGGACAGTTCCTCTAAATGAAGGATAGTTGGGAGGTATACTCATGTAGTACGATAGCACTCTTGTAAACATGAAATGAAGGACAGTTCCTCTAAATGAAGGACAGTTCCTCTAAATGAAGGACAGTTCCTCTAAATGAAGGACAGTTGGGAGGTATGCTCATGTAGTATGATAGTTCTCTTGTAAACATAAAATGAAGGATAGTTCCTCCAAATGAAGGACAGTTGGGAGGTATGCTCATGTAGTATGATAGCTTTCTTGTAAACATGAAATGAAGGACCGTTCCTCCAAATGAAGGGCAGTTGGGAGGTGTGATCATGTAGTATTACGGCTCTCTTGTAAACATATGAGCTCTCTCCTGTTACTTGCCATCTCTTTAACATGGCAGTGGTAAACACTATTTTTGGGTAGCGTTGTTGCTGCAAAATTCAGGTCAGATAAGATTGTAGGCAGGGACGTCCATAGACATTGCGCCACCTGAGACCGAGGAGGGGAGGCGGGGTGGTGCTCATAATGAAATTTCCGCGAGTGGTTATGGTGGATGTTCTGGGTTCTGGGGAAAGGACGGGGGTGGTTCGTGGTGCACAGCGCCCTGTCCAGCTCAGTGACATCACTGGTTGCCAGTGAGCTGGGCGGTACGCCATCCAGAACATCGCACTAAGCTGCTGGCAACCAGTGACATCAGTGATCTGGGTGCGATGCCGCCCAGAGCATCACAGGTTGCTAAGATATGTTAGCAACCTGGGACACTCTGGGTGGAAAGTGGGCAGCAGGCATACCTGCTGCTTCCTCCACGTGCCCCAATGAGATGCTGCTCATCATAGGGACGGCCCTGGTTGTTAATTTGAAGTATGCCACAGGAAACCCCCTATTTCACCCTCAATGGCCCTTTACAACCAGACTCCATCTGCCTTATTAAACAAAGTAGCATGGAGAAAAGAAGGGATGCACAAAGTGCAGTAACCCACATCAACAGAGCTGGATCAGTTAGGACATTTCTGGTTGGTAGCCAAGGGTGATGCCAAGTTGCCATCACTATTGTTTGCTGAAGTCCTTCCTTACCTAATGCATCATATGTTGTATATGTGACTCCTAATTAGTTGTTATGTGAAACTGTCCTTTGTTCCAGATTTCCAACCAACCTCATAGATGTCCCCAAAAAAATAAAAATTGACAAAGCTTCCTATTTTTTTTTTCTTCTCCATTTTCCATTAAAAAAATGGGATGGGATTAAATAGAGTGCTAGCGAGAGGACCACATAGGGTTATTACAGGACAGCAAGAGTGATGGGAATATAGAGGAGAAGGAGGAAGAAACGGAAGAGACGTATAGAGTACAGGGGAGGGGGAAGCACACAGGATAAACAGGGAGTGGAGACACTGTCACACAGAACACACACAGAAAGAGGGATACGGGGAGAAGAGACAGCAAGAATAACAGAGGGATGAAACAGAGAGCAGCACAGACTGGGAGAGACAGGCGGGGGGACTGACAAAGGAGGGAGAGCCGCCTGAATGAGTAGAGGAGAATGAGCTTGGAAGAAGGGAAGGAGAGCATTGGCTGCAGGGACTGAGATTACAAACCTGGGAAGGGATAGAACAGCCCAGGCTACAGAGACGAGACTGAACACGGGAAGAGAACAGCACAGGGTGCAGAGACAAAGACAGCTACGGGTAAGGGGACAGCACAGTGTGCAGGAACAGAGGCAGAACCTACAAGGGAAGGACAGCACGGCGTGCAAGAACAGACCAGGGGGGCCAAGAAAGGAAGGACAGCACAGTGTGCAATAACAGACTAGGGGACCAGGGAAGGAAGGACAGCACACCATGCAGGAATAGACACAGAACTTACAAGGGAAGAACAGGACAGAGAGCTGGAACAAACCAGGGGACCAGGGAAGAAAGGACGGCACAGGGTGCAAGAACAGACACAGAACCAACAAAGGAGGGACAAACACAGAACCTACAAAGGAAGGACAGCACAGTGTGCAGGAACAGACACAGAACCAACAAGAGAAGGACAGCACAGCGTACAGGAACAGACACAGAACTAACAAAGGAAAGACAGCACGGTGTACAGGAACCAAAGCAGAACCAGAGAAGGACAGACAGCACAGTGTACAGAAGCTGACACAAATTCAGGGAAGGCAGGACAGCACAGCGTGCAGGAACAGAGACACAGAAGCAGAGAAGGGAGGACAACACAGTTTTCAGGAGCAACAAAAGGCTGACATACAGAAGGGAAGGGACCTTAATGGTGACAGAGGGTGTCAGACAGGAAAGAAAGGAGCTCTGGAGGAGACAGTCTGGCTTGTTTCATCTCTGACCCTGATCACAGCTGGTCCGAACAATTGAGGTGTGCAGGTCTGCCCAGTCAGAGGACAGGTCAGGACAGAGAGGCAGGAAAGGAAAGTCGGACACGGGATGAAAGGAGCAGGGGGATTCTCCCAACCAGCATCTGATTACTGACAGCTACAGGTAAGAAAGACCGGTATCTGCAGACTAGCAATGCACCATTAATCTCTGGCATGCCAGGCCAATGCTAACTCTGTCTCCACCTCTACAACCCAAACATTACTCTAGCAAATGTATTTGTACCCTGAAATGCTAGACTATGCACTTTGACCCCTTCCTTACCAGACCCATCAATAGCCTTTGCCTATTTGCTACCAAAGACCTGCAGTGCATTGCCCATTGATGCGTTACCCTTTCATTAAACCTTTGCACGCGCAGGATCTACTCCAAGCTCCCCGGCTCCTGTTTTTTTTTTTTTTTCCAAGCCGGAGATAACATTAGTTCCTTAACACTTTTTCTGCCTGGCAACTGCAGACCATCGCTTCAGATATCCTATTAGCCACGCTCAGAGTCCAAGGCCTGCAGAGCATCGCGCCGTTACCCAGTCTCTGCTACACCACAGATCACAGCCACAAGCCTTTTAAGCCTCGGTGTGATATCTCGGAGCGTTCACCGGAGGAAAATAATTAAATAATCATTAAATCGGGCAAGGAAGGGTTAACCGGGCCTTATGTCAAATTAAGCCGGTCTTGGATTGAAGGGATTATTCTGTTTTTATAAATATGGTCGCCACCTTAAAAAAAAACCAAAACAGCCTTTTTAAAAAATCTTTTTAACGTCTGCCCTATTAATAACATTGGCATCCAGCCCCGTTTTTTCCTGGCCCGGCCAGTAAAATACCAGCCAGGTGGCACCCTATCGCTACGCATTACAAAGGCATGACTTAACAGCAGTGGAGGTTGGCATGTCCTGGAAAGTATGTGTACATCTGTGTACTTAAGCCTCTCACACCTACACGGCAATGCTGTATAATCTGTTTGTGTGTGATTGATAGACACAGGGCCTTTCTGTATGAATGATATTTACAAGGCATCGCTGTGTGGACCGACATGACTACCTCTGCGGCATTGTTGGCGTGTGAGACGGAGGGGTGAACCACAGACCATTCGGAAGGTCTCTAGGATAATGCAATACATTATCCGTGCCTAGGTCTGTGTCACTCGCCTTGTTTCTATACATGGAGACATGTAGATATTTCTCATCTAGGGCTAGGCAGCAATCAAATTGAGCATTGAACCAGGGCCCCACCATTAGGGCCCCCCTTTGCTTCTCTAATTTCCATCTCTAAAGCAGTTTTTCGAATGATACAGAATGCTAACTGCTTAAATAGAAATTGTATAGACGTTCCTAAGCTATATACAGTATGCATTCGTTTTTTTAAATGTTAGTGCATTATAAATCATTGTGAAGCTGGACAGCTTTGGGCCCCCATAGCAGTCGCCTGGTCTGCTTTGGCTTTAGTTCCACGCTTGCTTTGGTCATTAGGCCATGTACAAGACCCGTGCCATAACGAGGAACTGGGATATTTGTGCATTGTTCAAGAATTGCTCCCTTTTCTCCATAGAATAGGGCAGCCTTTCTCAACCAGTGTGCAGTGGCACCCTGGAGTGCCTTCTGGTTGCCTTGGTGCCTCGAAGTCATGCCTTTTCGTAGTGCAGGCAGGCTTCTGATGTGAAGGGGGCTCCTAATGTGAAAGGGGGGACTCTGATGTTAAAGGTGGCGACTCTCATGTAAAAGGGGGGGCTCCTCATTTGAAGAGGGGACTCTAATGTAAAGGGGGAACCCTACTTTTTTTGAAAAAAAAACTCCCCTTAAAATTCAGAATTACCATCTGGAAAACGGCACCAATTTTTTAAATCCAGGATCGAATTTGGTGAAATCTGAGATTGGGCAATTCCATGCTCATATTTTATATTTAAGAGAATCAGAATCACTTGATTTGCAGGTCAGGTCGCCTTCTCTGTAAAGGAACCATACCTCAGCTCCTTGTTGCTAGAGGATGCAGAGACAACTTGTTTTCAATGAAGCCTGCAGTGATAAACAAATGTTGGCTGCCATCACTGACATCCTTCTGAAAATGCTTTCTGAGCCAATGACTCAAAGTATTGAAGTCCCTATATTGAGGCCGTCTGAGGCGGTAGCCTTAGGCGGCATCTCTTAGGGTCATGTGGGTGGGAGAGCAGATGTACCTGCTTTCCCCTTTCAGGCCAGAGCGTCCCAGGTTGCTAAGAGCCTAGCAACCTGTGACGCCCTGGCCGGCGTCCTGCTCAGCTTCTGGCAACCAGTGACATCAGTGAGCTGGGCGGGACGCCGGACAGAGCCGGAGCCAGAGGTAAGGTGCACACCCCCGCCTAGACCACCAGGATCCCCCTTTACCCATCCAACACTGCTACTGCCACCCCCCAATGTGCACCACCAGCAACCCCCCAACACCCCCTTCCCCTGGAATGTGCACCACCAACACCGCCACCCCCAGCCACCTGGCCTCAGGCAGCGAAAACTTTAGAGACAGCCCTGATGGCAGCCAAAGAATTAGTACTGAAGCCAAAGGAACTGATTGCTAGCCTCCCTTCGCATTTTTAGATGGAGTCAAGTCAAGTGGCTACATTTATTATGGCAGGCTTCCTTTGAAAACTGGAGGGGAAGGCATCATCGTTCCGTTTCTGAGTTCAGTGTAATCCTGTATATTGTTGGTCATATTTAAAACAAAAGGACCAGATGTATGAAAATTCACTGTACGAACAATGTCTTGTTGACCACCATAACTTAGAAGCCTTGATTTATTTTAACGCAGCAAATACAGTTTACAGTTTATTGTTCAGCCCCATAGGCCCTATGAATTAAAAGTGTGCTAACAAGACTGTTGTATGGCAGCCAATCAGAACCCTTGTTTCTGCACACAACTCTGCATTGCAGATATGACACTTGGAAGCTGATTGGTGGCTATGGACAACAAGAAATGGTCGTTAGCATGGACTGGCAACCTCAGCACTCCAGCTGTTGTGGAACTACAAGTCCCATGAGGCATTGCAAAGGCTGACAGCCACAGACATGACCCTCCAGAGGCAGATTCCTGACAACTTAGTTTTAGACCAGTCTCAGAGTAGCAAATTTCTAATTGTTGGGAACTGGAAACGAGGGCTCGGCCTTCCCTTGTTACCAGTGCCGCAGTTTTTTTGCAAGCTGCCAGCACTCTTTAGTTTCAGTGCATGTCTGGGATGTTCCCAGCATGTTGGAAAAAAACTTCAGAGTGATAAGAAGTGCTTTGCATTCCCAGTTTTGCTGTTTATTTGGTTGTAGGATCTTACATGGCTCAGTACCTGCAGGCAATGGCCAAATATCTGTATAAATTGGAGACAAAACAGCATTAAAGCGAACCTGGGCTTTGCCCATAAAGCAACAGGTTCTCTATAATGGCGGCCCCACCAGCAGCACATACTTATGTACCCTGACTCCATCCTGCCAATTAAAAAATATCAAGGAGAGACTTCTCAGCTTGCTCTATTCTCTCTTTGAATAGAGCTTCAACAGAGAAAAGCGAAGGTAAGTATAAGCAACTAGTGGTGCTTGCAACAGGTTCACTTTAAAGCTGAATTCCAGGCAGATTACGGCACAAATGTATGCAGGTCTGTATAACACACCACATGGCTACATAAGTGAGGTTTTTTTTATACAAAAAGTTTAAAGGAGAACTATGAGATGAGTGATTTCCACTCACCTCATAGTTCTAGCCGACCTGTGACAATGAGACTGTCACAGGTCGGCTCAGTAGATCGGGAGGTGAGCGAACACATACCAGGTTCGCTCACCTTCCGATCCTGTCACGGCTCTCTGCCATGACAGGGGAGTTGCTGGATTCCCCTCTCCCCGCTCCGATCTGCCAGCGCTGACTGGCGGAACGGACGGGGGAGGGGGCGGGTACAGCTGGCTCTGCCTCTAGATAGGCAGAGCCAGCTGTCACTCACGCAGCTGGGCGGATCCCGTTATCTACATCGGGATCCGCTCCGGCTGCTGCGTCTCAGTATACCGCGAGCTGTAGCTCGCGGTATACTGAGCTTAGGGTAACG